ATAATAGATAACATAGTGTTATCTATTATATAGGCATAACAAAACATTTAAGATTTTTAAAGCTCAGGAATGTAAAATTCTTTGGATGTCTCGAATGTATCTGTAGATGGGCCTTAAAGATTGTTCTCAGTGATGATAAATATACATACTTTTATGTGAGTATACATTGCTTTCTGATGTAATACCAATCTTATTACACGCGCGCACATACAGTAGAATCTGGGTCGTTTCGCTCTAGAAGCAGCCAGCCGATCGCGTCATCGATTTACTCGATGCACTCTTACGTCTTTTTTTCCTTTCAATCTTGTTCCCACGTATAATTAATGACTTAAGACTACAGCTTAATACGTTTGGCAATCTTATTATAGATATTAAAAAATTGCAGAATTTGTTTAAAGAAGTTCAATAATAAAAAAAAGTTAAATATGTCATTTTTATCTTATATTGTTGCTCTTTTTTAAGTAAATACGCAAAATGATGAAGTATATGGAATTTTTTTATTTATATGAGATATTAAAAAAATAATTTATACATAGGAAGAGCGCATATTTCTGTTAAATTATTAATACAAAATAAAGATTAATTATTTATAAGGTGACGTATACAATTTGGAATTAAAAGTTCGGCTTTCTTGATGGTTTCTATTTTTCGACAAGATTTTATCAAAAGAGATGGAATTTTTTAGGCGCGGCATTCTCAGACACTATTACGAGGATAACGGTTACGTATTCGACTATATATCCGGCTACCTCGTTATTTTGTCAGCCAGCACGCGCACAAATTTAACTGCGTGACGAATATGGTGAATAAACGTTAATACATACTATATGCACTTCAAGATAGTTAATTCTTTATTATGTACCACGTGCCAGTTATGACGCACAACAGCAATTATAATTATAACAAGTATCAGGAAAGTATTTCTCTCAGTGATATGTATACCTATTTATGTCGCAATTATCATTAATTCGTTTATATATATCTCTAACCTAAGATTTATAGTTATAAAAGAGAAATACGATTTTGTAATTATTAGACTACCTAAAGCAAATTTATATTACACATTTTTTGTAATCTTACATCTGATTTAATGCTATAATGAGCTGATATTAATATTATTTTAATATTAAAATATTAATATCTTGAATACAATGGATTTTTTCTGGCTTAAAATAATTTTCCAAAATTTCTACTAAAATAAATCTATTTATATATATATTTGAAGTATTATATTAAATCTTATATTTGAAGTAATACTATATATAGAGGAGATAGTGATATTACGGCCCACATTTATATTTTATACAATAACTTGATTAATCAAAATTTAAATTTAAAACTTAACTACTACATTCGTCAAAGTGTTGTTCAATTGATTCTAAACTAAAAGTTACGAAACATTTTTATGTGGCGACATATTGAATTAATTAATGACTCGAAGAGAAACAGAGAGAGGTAATTTGGTCTCCTACAAAAAAATAGATTCAAAAAATTGGTTTTGTTTAAAAAAAGCACAGCGTTTGGTTACAAAATTAACAAAAAACATTTTAAAATGTATGCAAATAAATGTATGTACGTACACATAACTTCTGCATATAAACTGCTCAGTATTAGAAATAGTACACGTTATACAAATTATAGATTAACAGTAGAGCTACAATCGATTATCAAATAATTATTTTGATATGAAAAGAGACTGTTAGTAATCAATGCGTATAGAGGGCCACATTAACAAAATGCCATGCTATTGTTTAAATTTGCAACTCAAAATATATATAGTCAAATAAAATATTAAATAGCAAACACACTCAAATATACATATATATTTGTGTAATAATATGCTAAAATTAAGAAAAATGAGGAAATAGGTAATTAAATACTAAAATGTACTTTAAAAACATTTTGAAATATTTGAAAATAAAAATGTGTTATAATGAGTGCTGGCTATTGAGTATTGGCATATTAGCGTCATGGCGAGCTACTGAATAAATAATTCCATAAGTAATCACTAGGATTTGCTATATAGCGGAGATATTAAGGGAGGCTACCATATCTACACTGGCCATAATACCACCTCCTCCTCTAATAAGTTGAAAGCCAATCAAAAATGTCGATAATTTAATCAATAAATTAATTACAATCCAACGCCTCTTGATTGTAATTAATATATGATAAAGCTTACTAAAGAGCTGAAAAATTTATGGAAGGGAGAGAGAGAGGAATTCTGCTATACAATTTAATATGTCACTCATTTAAATTTATATCTTTAGCTTACGAGGGTAACCGATGATGTCAATGTAAATGATGTAGATGATTTCAATAAAACATTCTGCAAATAGCTAGAACGTTTAACATTGTTTTTTTTCTCGGTAGCGACTTTTACAATACTCTTTTGTGAGTTAAGATGGTAATAAAGCGGCTGCATTCATTTAGCGTCAGACTTTTACAAGGTAACCTCGCATGCTAATTATATATTTGTTGTGACTTTGTTCCCTCATGTCAAACGCCGCGATTAATTACGTTTCGTAAAATGCGATCATTTTTATGATCCTGTAAAATAGTTAAGCATTTATAATTGTGTTGCTTATTGCTGTTTTACGCAATTATTATCTTCTGGTTAATACTGAATTATTTATCTACTGAAACTTGAAAAAAATATTATCGTACAATGAAATTGTGCGTAACTTTAATTTTATATCTGAAAGTATATTTGCAATATTAGATTTGTTAAAGCCTTCAAAGTAGCTTGAACATTCCTTTATCTTTATAGTTTCGATATAGCGAGTAATAAGTAACGAATGCAGATTGGAAGCTATGAAAAAAAGCATCGGACCACATTCCATGAATAACTAGAATGAAAACAGCAACATGTAGTTGTATTTTATATATATGTCCAACGACAAATGGATAATACGGAGCATTGCTTCCTTTTCTCTGAGACAGTATGTAGAAAGTTATTTTATCGCGATTTTATCGCTAAAATATATAATATAACGAAAGATGCGGAATTGGTAGGTCTGAGCAATACCTGGAGGCAAATTGTGCGCAATTTCTATATGTTATAAAAGAGAGCGGATCGAATGCGTTTCATATGAATGCTAATATATGGGGTGTTTTATCAACTTTCATCTTACCTATGACCAAATTTTTAGAATTGTATTTTTTGTTAACATAAATATCTCATTAATTCTTCTTATCGATATATTTCTAAATTATAAGCTGTTGAAGATAGAAAGCTTCTTTTCAAAAAAACTTTAGAGAAATGAAAGCAGATAGTAGATTTTAGTAAAATACTTAATTCTAAGTGTAGTTTACTGAGAAAAAGAGCTTATAATTTCGAGAAAATTAAAAATTAATGTAATTTATTTGGAAGTGTTTACAGTTGTAGTAATATTGAAGAATAAATCTATCAAGAGAGATACGGTAGTGTCCCGCGTACTAAGTATTTAGTTTACGTAAAAGTATTTTTTTACAAAGATATTTAACCTATTTAGAAAGTTTAGCTTCCGAGAAATAATTTTCTGTAACATTTTATTGAAAAAAAAGTTGATTTTTGATTAATCGAAGAATTCATAGATGAAAGCTGGTCTGTAGGATCACCTGCCACATAACATGACGCAACGCAATCATAACGTATAATAAATCTCATAATATCTGTTCGTGTTATCTATTACGAGATATCTAAATAAATGCTTATTAAACATCAGTGAAAAATGCGGGGAAAAAATAGAGACTTCCGTGAAATTCCGACAACTCTTATCTTATTAAATAATATCAGCATATTAATCATTTAATTGATGTTCTATATATTGTATATTGTAATTTTAACTTTGAACACAGAGCTCGTTTGCTTATTTTTTATAACACGATCCCAATCAGCACACTTTATCTTTAATATTTTTAAATATTTTTACAAATATTTTAAAAATATTTATTTAATGTAAAATTATTAAATAAATATTAAAAAAATGTTTTTTACATATTATATACTGATTAGGATAAAAAAGTATAATTGTAAAATTGAACAATGAGATAATTACGATGTAAAAATAGAAAATTAAATGATGATGGATGATAGGCATTCTTCTTCTGAAACTAATAGGAAATACGTCGCGATATTCGATTTCTCACGTATTCCATGGGCGTCCCTTTAACCGGCGAAATGGAGGGCGAAATGCAGTCGACGTTGGCATTACGTAAGCGATGCATGTAACTGTGCTGGCTGCGCCCGATTATGTGGGAAGCCGATCGCAGCGGCGTATCTGTGAAAACGGCACATGCACACGCACAATCGAGAGATTGAATCGAATGTGTGATCACTGAAGCGTGACTTCGAGAGGTTTATGTATCCAGGCACGTACTTGTCTCTCTTTCTCTCTTTCTTTTTTCCCTTCTTCATATTCGCAGAATATACTTCAGATATCTTACATCCTACTTATATCTACTAGAGATAGCAATTGGGTCCAGAGATAGTCGAGCAGCTTTCTCGAAAATGCTTGTTTCGCTAGTTTAGATCGAAATCTAGGATCTCTCGCCTACACAATAGCGAAGAAATTCGATAAATAGAATGAGAATATTCTACAGTTTATAAGGCGAGTTTTCAGATCGTACAGTAAATTTTTGAAAAGGAAATAATTGATATATTATATTTTATTTAATATTTTATTAATAAGAGCAAAAAATGAGAATAATAAAAAAGATAGGAAAAGGATTAAAAAAATAAAATCCTTATTTAAATTGCAATGGATACTTTCAAGCACAAATATAACATACCTCCAAATATAATATATTGTTAAATTGATACAATAAATTAATAAAATTTATCAGTTATATAATATTATTAAAATAATTCCTTTTAAATAATTTATATTTTAAACACAGGTTTATAACAACTTATAAGAAAAGAAATTAAATCAATCTCTCGGAATACTTTTTATGAAATAGTTAAATCAAGCATGACTTTAAATAAATAAATAAATAAGTGGAGAAATAATAAATAAACTTTCAAACAATAATTTAATTTTATGTCTCGTTCTCGTCGTCTCTTTCAGTCGTTGGTTCTTCTATCGGCCATTTTCCCGCAGTCGCGGCTGAATCTACGGTGTTAGTGGTCGGTGGATCGGTGATCACAATGGGCCCAAGAGGTTCTGCGGTTTGTTCTTCTTCTTTAGGAGGTTTTGCCCCGTATTTATTATCTTCGTTTGAAATTTCTTCGATACTTGGTTTATCCCCGAGGCCTTGAACATCTTGCGACAATTCCATAGTGACATCGGGCATCGGTGGTACCAGTTCCACCGATGGTATCATAGTTTTTATCTGGCACTGCCGGCCCATGTAGCCCAGGGGACAGATGCATCTACAAGAAAAACGAATGTTTCCTAATATCTCTAAAGATTCTTTAGAATCCTTTTCAACAAATTTTTTATATTTCCTAATATTTCTAATATTTCTAAAGAGACATATACGATCATGAAATTATTATACATTAAAATTGATATAAGCAGCCAAATAAAATTTATTTATTGTTAAATTTTAAATGAATTTTATATTAGTTTAGCAATTTAAAAAAACGGTAGAATGCCATTAGTTCTTTCAATAAAGAAAAATTATATGTGATTAATTTTTAATGTAATAATAAAAATAATGACGTATTTATATTATGATATAATTATAATGTATAAAAGACTAAAATGTAATTAATTTATTACATTTAGGAAAAAAGTAAAGTAAAGTTGAATGTAAACTTATAATAGATTACTATTCATTTTGCTACCACAATGATTGAATTTTACTCTGTCTTACCTATAATCGCCATCCTCATGAGTCATGCTGATGCAAGTAGCGTTATTTCGACAAATATCGAGATGCTCATCGCAATAAGTGAGCTTTTCGTTACACAGGTCACCGGCCCAGCCGGGTTCACATCGACACTCCCATGGTCGTTTACATGACCCATGCACGCATCCAGGGTATGGTACACATTCGGTGCAATTGGGTCCCGTCCAGCCGACGCGACATCTACACGTGTTTGGTTGCCTGCAGCTACCGTGATCCCGGCTACATCCTTGCGCGCAGATCGCTAAACACAACATATTATGTATTGTCGATTTTTATCAATGTCTATTATAATATTATCAAGTCTTGATATATTATAAAACTATTAAATATAGAGTTAACTTTAATGATTTTATATCAATTTTATATCAATTAGAAAATGTGTTTATAGAATTAAATCTTTGTTAAAAAGAAAATAGTTTTTGTGTATCATTTTTCTGTGTTAATTATTTTATTACCAATTAAAATATTATAACTTTCATGTGTATAAGATTAAAATTAACAGAGTTTTAAATTGGAAATCAGACTCCTTGATACATAACTGTATAATGAACAATTGTTAAATTTAATGTAATTATTATATTATCATCTTAAGTCTTAGTTTAGTTTTAAAATATGTTATATTTAGATTAAAAGTTTCTTAAGAATAATTCTTAAATAATTAGTTTGATATTAATTTCTTTAAAAAATCATTTTTTAATTGTATAAAATCGCAAGGATAGAAAGGTATATGCAATAGTATTATATATTATATGTCTATTCTACCAAGAGATTTTTTAAAGGAGAGATATTTCTAGCATTCCGAGAAAAGATTGTTGAACGGCACACATACGTGATTTGAGATAGTATTTTCTTTTTTGAACAAGTCTTGCGTATATCAATGTACATTTTTTTTATATGCTATCAAAGTCGGTTAACAAGAATCTTATGTATATATTGTAGAAAAATTCCTTCTCTCCCATTCTTTATTGTCCAAATAAACAAAAATAAGATGATTCTCGTTGATAGTTACGTTTCAGTTTATTCTGGGAAGAGTTTCTCTTCTATTTGCTTTCGGGAATAAACTTACGTGTTTGACAAAGCAATCCGGTCCAACCTGGATCGCATCGACACTCCAGCGGCCCTTGACAGGTCCCGTGAACACAACCCGGCAGAACTGCGCACTGTTTGCACTTCGGGCCTTGCCACCCGAAACGACATCTAAAAGAAAGAATACGTCAAGCTTGGATTTTTCTCTTTCCTACACATCTGTGTCTATAGACCTTGACTGTGTCTATAGATCTTGAAGAAAGATCTTAGAATTTAAATTATATTACGTTTATTGCATCAAAAGTTTTCAGTTATATCTAATATTATGATTCTATATCTTTAAATTTATAGAATGTTTTTTTATATTTCTTTTATAATATTCTAATATTCCAAATAATTTGAATTCCTTATCATTCTTTATTCTACAGTATATCTATTATTTTATAATAATATATTCTACAATGCTATACACATATAGTAGAAAATCTATTATTAAAAAAAACCATACACTTCAGTCAAGCAATAATTAATAATAAATTTTATAAAAAAAAAAGCAAATAAATACTTAAAATTTGTTTTTGACAAGTCTAATATTTCGGAGTTTAGTATAGTTTGTAAAATTAGTCTTGATGAAAATATTTGTGGCAATTAGAGCATGCACGTGAACGCGCGCGCGTTTAAGAAGATACAAGATTAATCACCTGCAGTCGCCGGGTTTGTCGCAGTAACCCTGACTGGAGAGGCAATCGGGCGCGCAAATGGGCTCAGAGCAGAACATGCCTTTCCAACCGGGATCGCAGGAGCACTCGAAGCTCACGTTACATCTGAAAGTGCAAATTTCAAAGTTAAGTCCCTGTCTGTCTATCAAACGGAATCGATCGATGGTCACGAGAGACTGATCCGAGCGAGGAAGCGTTTCGTGTTACACGGAAATTAGGCTCGTTCGCTCAACCAAGGTGAAAGCAAAGTGAAGCTGATACGGGCTGTTGATATTCAAGCGGCGTTCAATTTATATCGTACGTGTGCGGCACGATAAATCGTGCCGTATTACAGCCGCATAGACGCTACATCGATATCTAGTATAATTGTTATGGAGTTATCGTATATATAATGAGAAATCGATGAACAATTAATTAGAGTTTAATCTTCTCATGAATATAAATAATGTTCGATTTTTGCACTTAGCATATGAAGAGAAGAAATGTATCTATGTAAAATCTAAAAAAATATTTTTTAAGTAAAAGTAATAAAAATTAAATTTTATCTAATTTGAAAAAAAAGTTTTATAAAATTGAACTGCTTAAAAAATAAAATAAAAAATCTTAATGATATATTGATGATAAAAAAGTTGACGATCCATTAGTTACACTATAAAAGAATTCTAAACTAAATAAAATAAATATAAGTTAGCGGTAATTTAATATAATTAATTTAATTTTTAGTAATAACTAAATTTGAATTACTGAATAGTAATAAATTAATGTTCTATTATGTTTATATTTATAATTTATACATATATTATTTAATATATAATATTTGAATTTAATAAAAGAAGATAGATATTAATAATATTTTTGCTAGAATGTGTAATTCAAATTTCATGCAAGATTTATTATTTTAATGTAAAGCTTTGAGAAATTTATATGGTCTCTAAAGTGCACTTTTCCTTTATTACATATGAAATGATTATACCTTCCATGCTGACATCCTGGTAAAGCCACACATTTGTCGCACAGTTCGCCGTAGAAACCTAATTTACAACGACATTCTCCTGGTCGCCGACAGTAGCCTTGAAGAGGATCACAACCCTTGCGGCAAATTGGTACATCACAAAGATCTCCAGTCCATCCTAAATAATGTTTTATTATAACGTTAGAAAAAAATAATACAAATTTTAATCATTTAATTATTAATTTTTGTTAAATTGATTTAATTTATTTTAATTTAGCTGCAAAGTATAATCTGATATCTAATTTAATAAATTACTCTTTATACCTGGCAAACATTTCACTTCACCAGCTTCGTCGCAAATATAATGCGAATTCGGGTGTTGAGATGCTGGTATTTCGCATGCTTGCTTTTTCCATTTTGGAACATACCTAGATGGTTAAATTTAATAAAATGTTAATATATATATATAAATTAAAACTTGTAAATTAGTAATAAGGTTTTATATTCTTGGTTCTTCAATCCGTGGAAATAATGACATAAATACCTATCGATATATATAATATTATATAAATATCTATCAATATGTAAAAGTTGCGAAATGTCATCGCAAACGTTTCTTTGCAGATTCTTCGCGTTTTAATAAATCAGACAAACGTTTATTAATAGTTCTACAAATACGTTTTCTCATGTGAAAAAGAAGTTTAATCACTATGCCAAGGAAAACAACGTTCGAGAATGGTTGAAGAATGATTAACGAACAGAAAAGATTACCGCCTACTTAAGAGATAATGTCTTAAAAATCACTTAGTTGATGCATTCTTGAAGATAAGAAACTGTCGATTAGGTAGAATGACATTGACATGGTTAGGATTCAACAAAGCCCTGTGTGCTATTTTAATCGTGATTGTGATTTATGTCCTTTCAAATCGATTGATTATATCAGGGAAGATTACGATTAAGTGATTAATTAAAAAAAATAAGAAAAAAATTTATTTTTATTATTTAAATGAGATAATAGAAATTTTTTAATATTGAGAAATTTTTTAATGATAATATAAATTATAGAAAATATTTAAATTTA